AGAAAGAGACTTTTAACCAAGGATGGCCAGAAACCACCTTGAGACTGGTAGGAAGGGCAGGGTCATGAAAGGGTCTGGCCCCTCTCCCAGACACAGCAGGCTCAGGTTACGGAAGGATAGCAGAACTGTGGAAGCTTCCCCCTGAGAGGAGTGAAGCCTGGACCCAATACTGGGCTCCTCAGCCTGGAGGCCAGAGCTGGGATCAGCCACCCACGTAGCATCCAGTGGTAAAAGGTGCCTGGGTTTCTGTCTGCTGGGGAGAGACAGAGCCTGTTGGAGACGAAGCCACGTTTCCTAAGGGGCCAAAACACAAGTGTTTCACCTTGGGCTCCAGCAAAGGGAGAGCAGTACGAACTGGAGTCCCCTGAGGAGAGTCTGCAGTGGGAATCACTGGGGAGAGATGTGGGGGAGTGGGTGCCGGGATCCCTGTGTGAGGTTATCCCCAATATCATAGCAGATATTTTACTTGAAAAGAGCAAACCCCTCTCAGGGGAATCAGCCTGGGGAAAAACATTTACCCCACCCTCTGGGATCCTGCTCACTCCACCTTGCATCTTCATCCCTACTGAGGAGATAGCAGCATTAGCAGACTCAAGGGGTGATAAAGACTGGTTTAGGGCTGCAGCTCTTCCTTTACTTTCATGGGAACGGGACTGGCACTCCCCCCTTACAGGATAGCCAATAGAAACAACCGATAGAAACACCCTCCTGGTTTCTAGCAGACCCAAATTCTGGGTCGCAGCGGCCCCACCTGCCTGCTTACAAGGAGCTCCACCCTGCCAATTTTGGGGAAATAATCCAGAAAAGACTCAGACATGTGGTCATGGGGTGGTGGAATACACCCACCATCTTCCCTGAAGTCTGAATGGCATGGCCCCTTCATGGAAGATTCAGGGGTCCCAACTTCCCAATGCCATCAGAAGCCCTGTCAGAAACAGCCATTTTAGTGATTAAGATGGACTGCAGGCCCACTGCCAGAGGCCGGCCACTGGCAGAGATCCTGTGGTGCCTTAGGACATTTGCTGACCTACCCCTCAGCCCTGTGCTGGTAAAAGCTGGGCTTGGAGCAGTTTGGCCCTTCCCATGGGTAGCCATGCTCACCAGAGGCAGCCACTAACCAAATTATTTGTAGCTTCAAACAGGCTGCTGAGGGCAAGACATGGACAGGATGTGATGTTGGCATATATCAGCTTCAGACAACATTGGAGCAGTATCCAAAGGAAGATTTCAGCAAGCAGGGATTAAACTCTGCTGAGACAAATTCTGCTTTGTTCTTCTTCATTATTTTCAATATTTTTTGTAGCATTTTTATTTTTCTTTATTATCTTTTATTTTACTCTTTCCTTTTATTACTCTACTTTTCTTCTTTCCTTTTCTTATTTTTTCCTCTTTGTTGTTTTTTTCTAGTTTTCTCTTTTTATTCCTTATTCTTACTGTTTCTTTTCATTCTTTCCTCTCATAATCTTTTTTCTCTCACTATTCTTCATCTCTTTTCTTATTCTTTTCCCTTTTATTGTTGTCTTTGCTGTTGTTGTTGTTAGTTTTTTGTTTTTTTTTATCTTCTTTTGATTTGTTTTGTTCTGTCGGAATCTTGCAATATGTGGTTGGGGTTGGGCCTCTCAGTCAGTCAACTGGAGGGAAGATTGCACCCATGAATGAGCCAACAGCAATCAAGACCCAATTACAACAGGAGAGACCACATGATCAACACAAGACACATTCCTAGAGCATCCAGCTCACGATAACAAGTAGACTGCTCCACTGGGTCCCTAAGGACTCCTACCACATAAGGCCACCTCACAGAGAATGGGAGTCAAAGCTGATCTATCTAATACATAGAAACAACTAAAGAGACAATTAAAATGGGGAAACAAATAAACAACTCCCAATTAAAAACAGAAGGGATCTCCAGAAAAAAAGCTAAATGAAATTGATGCAAACAATTTATCAGACATACAGTTCAAAGTAATGGTTATAAGAATACTCAAGGAACTTAGTGAGAACTACAAGGAACTTTATGGGAATTACATCAGCATGAAAAAGGACATAGAGACTATGAATAAGTACCAGTTGGAAATGAAGAACACAATATCAAAAATGAAGAATATACTAGAAGGACTTAAAGTAGATGAGGCAGAAAATTGAATCAGCAATTTGGAAGACAAGATAGAAAAAAACACCCAATCAGAGCAACAACAACAACAAAAAAAAGACTTAAAAAAATGAGAATAGTTTAAGGGAACTTTGAGACAATATGAAAGATAACAATATCCACATCATAGGAGTATCATAAAAACAAAAATGAACAAGGGATAGAAAACCTATTTGAAGAAATAATGACAGAAAACTTCTCTAATCTGCTGAAGAAAAAAGTCACAAAAGTTCAGAAAGCACAGAGAGTCCAAATCAAGATGAATCTAGAGACCCACACCAAGGCACATCATAATTAAAAGGGCAAAGTTTAAAGACAAGGAGAGAATCTTAAAGGCATCAAGAGAAAAGCAGTTACCTACAAGGGAGCTCCAATAAGACTGACAGCTGATTCCTCAACAGAAAAACTTCAGGCCAGAAGGCATTGGTATGAAGTTTCAAAATAATGAAAAGCAAGTACCTACAACCATGACTACTCAATCCAACAAGGCTATCATTTAAAACTTAAGGTAAAATAAAGAGCATCCTAGAAAACAAAAACCAAAAATACTAAAGGAGTTCATTACCACCAAACCAGCACTGCAAGAAATGTTAAAAGGGCTGTTTTAAGACTAAGAAATAGAGAGAGGAATATAGGTATAAAGAAAAAATGGCAATGAATAAGTACCTATTAATAATAACCTTAAATGTAAATGGATTAAACACTCAAATAAAAAGACATTATATAGCTAAATAGATAAGGAAACATGACCACCCATATATATGCTTCAGAACAAAAGATTTACAGGGTGAAAGTGAAGTGATGAAAAAAACATTCAGTGCTAATGGAGATGAGAAAAGACAGTGTAGCAATACTTACATCAGACAAAATAGATTTCAAAATAAAGGCCGTAACAAGAGACAATGAAGGTCACCACATAATACTGGAGGAATGGACCCAATAAGAGGATATAACCAATATAAACATATATGCACCCAACACAGGAACACCTAAATATATAAAGAAAATCTTGGTGGACTTTAAGGAGGAGATTAACAGCAATAGTCATTGTAGGGGATTTTAACACCCACTGTCACCAATAGGTAGGTGTTCCAGACTGAAACTCAACAAGGAAATAGCAACCTTAACATGGCAAATCGAATAGATTTAATTGATATTTACAGAACATTTCAATTCAAAGCAACATAATACACATTCATCTCAAGTGCACATGGATCATTCCCAAAGATAGACCACATGTTAGGACACAAAATGAGTCTTAACAAATTCAAGAAAATTGATATATCAAGCAGTTTCTCAGATTACAGTGGCATGAAACTAGAAATCAACCTCAACTAAAAAATTGAAGAACATTCAACTGCATGGAGGTTAAATAGCACGTTATTAAATAATGAATGGGTTATCAATGAGATCAAGGAAGAAATAAAAATTACCTGGAAACAAATGAAAATGAGCACACAACAACCAAGTCTATGGGACACAGTATAAAAGTCTTGAGAGGGAAGTTCCTAGGCTTACAGGCTTACTACGAGAAGCAATAAGAACCAATGATCTCACTTATATGTGGAATCGAATGAACAAAATAAATGAATGAGCAAAATAGAATCAGAGGCATAGAAATATGCACCAGACTGACAGCTATAAGAGAGGATGGGGGAGGTGGGGACTGGTTGAAAGCAGGTGAAGGGATCGGCCAAAGAACATGTATGATTGACCCCTGGACATGTACAGTAGTGTAGGGATTGCTTGAGGAAGTGAGTGGGGGCTGGGTGGAGGGGGGAAAAGGGGGGAAAATTGGGATAATTATAATAGCATAAACAATAAAATATCTTTTAAATTAAAAAAAGAAAATTACATTTGTAGTTATGTTCATTTAAATTTTCATGTAGCAATTTTCATTTGTTCAGTCCTACTAAGTGTCTGGCACTATATTGGTGCTAGAATGAGTCCTTGTCTGTAAGAATCTTTTTGGAAGTCCTTTTCCAGTCAGATGGTTCTTTCTCTTTCAGATATCACTGTGAATTTGCTTTATAGAGAATGAGCAGGGACCAGTGAGGGATTGTGTGGCTGATTAAGATGTGTGGCTTTGAAAAATATAATGTGATTTACCCAAAGTACCATTGCAGTCTAAAATATAAAAATGATAATCCAGATCAATGAAAAACTTAAATAAGGATAGCATTAAAAAATAGATTTACCCATTTTTGCAACTGTCACAAGCTATCCATGTTTGTCAAATCATCCACTGCATGCATACTTCAGGTTTATAGCAATCCTCTTCCAGACCATGCTAATTGGAGGGCCTCTTACTGAATCCTTGACTCCCTTTTCCTCTGAGAAATTATCTAACTTGTCCCTACAGCATCCCTCTGGCTAAACATATGGCTCACTAATCAAGCATGTTTAAGCACGTCTCATGTCCCTAGTTCTCTCTTAAGTGCTGTGAGGAATTAAAAACAAAACAAATTCACTTTCTCCTTGGGATTATCGCTTTTTCTGAGTAAATCCTATTGGATTATGAGGATCTTGGGATGAGAACTGTGTCTTACTCATTTTTGTAGACTCTATAACATCTCACAATGTAGTCAATAAATAGTGTTGGATGGAAGAATTCATAGATAATTTATTTGTAGGGATAGACTGTAAACAGACATCACCCTGGGATTTCTAGATCTCCTGGAAAAGTCAATTCAGTTGGTGATGTCATAGTTTCACCGATGACTGATGGTTAACTTTTCCCAAGGCAAAGACAGTACAAGAACCTGCCATTGTTATTTGACCAAGTCAGAGACATCAAAACTGGAACAGCGCAGCCTCACAATTTCCTCAGTTCAACAGCGCCACTCACCTGATCTGAAGCCAAGTCAGCATGGGGGTCGTCCCTCCTCCAAACACCCAGACTGTGAAGAACACAAGCAGCAGTGTGGTAGTGAACATCATCTGTTTGGGCTGAGATTCTGTGTCCCGAATTGCTAAAGCAAATGCGATGGCTCCTCGTAAACCTTTTAGGGAAAACAAACAAAAAACCCCAAAACAAACAAAACAAAAAAAAAGAGAGAGAAGATAAACATCTTCATAAGCCTCATTCTCTCATTCTCATTTAATTGAATTTATCTATCTTTACAATTTGCAAAAAAACACAATTATTTTTTAAGTTAAACTCTTTATTTTAAAATAATGGTGGATTCACAGGAAGTTGTAAGACATAACAGAGACTCACTGTGTGCTCCTTTCCCCCATTGATAACATCTTGCAAACTCTAGCACAATATCACAACCAGGATTTTGACATTGATACAGCCAAGATCCAGTATATTCCCATGGGCACAAAGGTCCCTCATGTCATCCTTTTATAACCACATTTATTTCCCTCCTACACATGCCCTCTTCCAAACTCCCTCTTTAACTTCCGGCAAACTAGTAATCAATTTTCTATTTCTATAATGTTGCCATTTCAAGAATGTTATATAGATGAAATTGGAATTGACTTTTCTTCACTCAGCATAATTCCCTGAATATTCATCCAGGTTGCCAAATATATCAATAGTCTGTTCCTTTGTATTACTGAGCGGTACTCCATGGTACACATGTTTCACAGTTTGTCTAACTATCCACCTATTGAAGGGCATCTGGGTTGTTTGCAGTTTTGGGCTATTACAGCTAAGGCTGCTGTGTGAGCAAACATAAACTTTTCATTTTTCTGAGATAAATTCCCAAAACTACATAGAGACTTACGGTATTTCTATATTTTTAAAGAAATTACCAAACTGTTTTCCAGGGTGGCTGTACCACTCTACATTCCCTCCAGCAATATATGCCATCCTGTTTCTCTGTATCCTCACCAGCATTCAGTGTTGTCACTATTTTTTAATTTTAGTGACTCTGACAGGTGTATGTATGGTAATAGCTTATTGTGGTTTTCATTTGTGTTTTCCTAATGACGAATGATGTTGAACATTTTTTAAATGTGCTTATTTGTTATCTTTATACCCTCTTGGGTGAAATGTCTCTTTATGTCCTTACTTCGTTTTGTAATTAGATTGTTGGATTTTTTTTTTGATTGTTAAATTTTGAGAGTTCTTTAAACATTCTAGATAATACTCCTTTGATGGATACATAGTTTATAAATACTTCCTCCCACTTTGTAGCTTTTTATTGATGAACTTTAATCTGTTGATTTTTGCTTTTATTTCATGTGTTTGAAATCAAGTCTAAGAACTTTTGCTGGAAGTTATGGAAACTGGAAACAACCCAGATGCCCTTCCGTAGGTGGATAGTGGGACAAACTGTGAAACATGTGTACCATGGAGTACCTCTCAGTAATACAAAGGAACAGACTATTGATATATTTGGCAACCTGGACGAATATTCAGGGAATTATGCTGGGTGAAGAAAAGTCAATTCCAATTTCATCTATACAACATTCTTGAAATGGCAAGGTCTAGGTACCAAAGTTTCTCCCCTATGTTTTAAATTTTTTCCCCCAAAAAGCTGTATAGCTTTACATTTTACATTTAAGTCCATGATCATTTTAAATTAATTTTTCTGTAATGTTGAGGTTCATTTTTTTCACCTATGTATATTTAATTTCTCCATTGAATAGCTTTTGGGCCTCTGTCAAAAAAATCAGTTGGGTGTATTTGTGTGGCCCTATTTCTAGGTTCTCTGTTTTGTTCCATTGATATGTGTGTTTGTCCTTTTTCTAACAGTACACTGTCTTTTTACTGTAGACATATAACAGGCATTAATATTGAGTAGAGTGACACTTACATTTCTTTTTAAAAATTATTTTAACTATTTTAATTCTTTTGCCTTTCCATAAAATTTTAGAATAATGTTGTCCACATCAAAAAAAATATCTTTCTGGGCACGTTTACTTTTAAAAAGTCAAATGTATCAGATAACAATAGAAAAATAAATTTATGGACTCCTGAAACTTAATAAATAAATAACATTGAAGAATATTCCAGCCTGAGTAAATGCTTTTACAAACTCCATAATCTAAAGTAACCTATTAGAACTTGCTTTTTTCCCTGTTTTATTTTTCTTCTTTAATAACAATATGCTAATTAAATTTTTATTTAATTTCAAATCAAAGTATAATATCATTCATAAAAACAGAGATGTAGACTCTAAAGAAAAGTAAATAAAAGCACAAGTAGCAAAGTAAAATGTTAAAATGAAAAGTCTCTCTTGGGGAACACAAGAATTCTAAGACATTTATGAGCCCTGTTATAACGGAATGGGACAAATAAACATTTTTGATAACAGCAAATATAAGTCAAAGACAGTGATTTGGTTATTATTGTAGAAATGTTTAAATCATATATGTAAAATTTTAGTGGTCTACTTTTATAATATTTACTGCATCACCTAGAGTCCTAAATTTCTAAGTCTTTATTCATACATTAAAAACATTTAGAAATTGGATACATAGTGAGAGGAGGAAAACTCTAACTAGCCTGTTTTTCCCACCCGGGATGCCAACTTGGAATTAATGCTCCTTTATTATTTCCACACTGAGGTTGTACAAGAGACAAGTGGCATGACATGGGATCCAGAGGACTAGACTAGAGACATTTAATATATTTTGCCTGAAACAAGAGAGCCTCAGAAAGAGAGAGCAACATGCACATCAATTATAAAATACCTTCAAGGAAGAAAATGTAATGGAGGAAGGAAATTATTCTAAATCTCCCTGTAGACAAGAAAATGGCCTGAAGATAAGGAAGATAACATTTGAAGTAGATATTAATAAAAAAGTTCTTATACATCAGAAATTCTGAACACTTGAGATGGTTGCATTCAAGAAGAAAAGTTCCCCACAGGAGATGCTCATGTATTCAGACCCAGCTGAGGACAAGAGAGGGGAATATTAATAACCCTTGATACTGGGGAATAGTTTAATAATGTTCTCTTCGGGAAATACAAATGGTGTCATTAGAGAATGAAAACTCAAGGAAACAGTGTTACAACAGACCTCTTTATCTGAGAAGAGACTTTATAGGTCAAGGTAAAAGCTCCTAGCAGTGTTTAATCATAGTACAAGACTGGAGGTAGACAGTGATCTTTGCATTTTCTCTTTTCCTCAAGCTCAGATTGCGAGAGTGTTTGTAAAGGGGCATTACCCAAAATTAGGTGGTGAGTAGGACAAGTACTAAGTGTTGGGAGTCTAATTATTTTTTTAATATTTATGAGTGTGCGTGTTTACTTTGAATTTTTCTGAGAAGGGAAAGAATAGAGATTAGAATAAAAGTTAAAACTTACTATATCATGCTTATTGTGAATTCTTTCATATTAGATATCAAGGACAAGAAAAAACACTATCATTTATCTTCCTAAATATGTTTATTAATTCATTGCTATTATGTTAAGCTGGCATAACTATATTTTTAAATCTAAATTATCTATATATGAATAGTTCTTGGTTAAAAATATACTCAAATGATTCCTGTTATTCTGACTTCTAATATATATATGTATCACACTGTAGATAATACTATATATAGATACTATACTATATATAGATAATATATTGTTATATATAATATATAATAATGTATAAATTATGTGTACATATACATAATATATAGATTATAGATAATGTATAGATTAATATATACATAATATATAGATAATATACATACATACACATATATTGACTATATACATAATATATAGACAATATATAGTATGATACATGTATTATCATATATAATTCTGTATATTTATAGAATACAATGTAGAGGTCTCTTAAAAAAGAAAAAGTTCAGTCACTACCTTGTACTTGTGGCAGGTTGAGAACTATTGTTAATTAGGGCTAAACTCCAAGATGTTGACAAGAGGCTGCCTTCATATAATGGCCAACTAAAAAACCCACAGAAACAGAGTGTTTTGGGAGAAGCGACCATCTGCCTGGAGTCCTGGTCACATGTAGCACATGCCACACGCGGTGGCCTGGCAGCACAGGAAGCATGATGTGGAGTGAGATTATTAAGTACACAGGGTAAAGCTCATCTAGAATCCAGATAAGAGCTATTGCCTCTTTCCCCCTCATCCTTTTTGATTCCAAAGTTAATTATCACACATTTGGAGCCTAGGAAATTATCAAATCAATGGCCTTTCACTGCTTCATTCAGTACATGTGTATCTTAGGTAGCCATAACATAGTACCATAGACTATGTAGCTTCAGTAACAGATATATTGCCTCATGGTTTTGCAGGCTAGGATGACCAAGATCAGGGTGCCAGCATGGTCGGGATCTGGTAAAAGCTCTCTTCCTGGTGTGCAGAAGGCCATACTCTTGCTGTGTGAGAGCAAGCTCTGCGGTGTCTCTTCTTACAAAGGCAGCAATCCTATCATAGGGGCCCTACTTGTAAAACCTTCCAAAGGCCCCATCTCCACATCCCATCATATGGGGTCTGGGGATTCAGCATATGAGTTTGGGAGGGGGCGTGCACAGTTCAGTCCAGAGCAGTGTGTATTGATTACCTGCTTTGTGGCGGTTCTGTCCATTCTTAAGCCTATCTTCTTAACAGAGGGCTTTAGGACTAAAATAGTTTACTTAGGCAACCAGAAAAATACTACAAATGAAAAATTACTATTTACTTGGTTTCTTTTAGCAAACCACTATTTCCAAAGACCACATAGCATTTTGTTTAGAAACTCAGAAAATCTAGAACTCTATGTCAGACTTGTGTTTTGTTTCATTTTATGGGTACTTTGGCTCTTTGATTTTGCCTTTTATTTTCCTCCTTATTTTCTATACTTTTGGGGGTTGATAAACTATTGCATTTCATTTTAGATGGTTTACTTTGCAGAGACTTGACATATTTCACATAGTTAGTTGGAAAGTTAGCATCACCTTGGGGGAATAAAAGAATTACCTGCAGTTAAATGTGGTTTCATTTAAAATTGGCCTCTAAGGGATCCTTATGTAAATTATGTTGATGTTCTACTCATAACAATAGAAGAATATCAAAGCATATGAACCAATGAAAGC